AAGAACCGTTGGACGGTGCCAAGCCCTGCTGAAGCTCCAGAAACTGAAGCCCAGAGAGAAGGAACTCAGCAAGTCACATGGTGTATCGGGGCAGAAGAGGATGAGAGTTTGACTTCTGAGGCTCATTTCCCCCCATCACCCACCCCCCACAAGCACATTCCCCTTGGGAAGGCAAGAAAACTCCTCACCCTGCAGCCACTTTTGGCCACGTTCCACCCTCCAGCCCTTCAAGGCACTGTGTGGTGCCAATGGAGTCACTTTACCTCTCTGGTCACTTGATGCCAGAGACTCCCTACCCCCACTCTCGTTCTCAAAACTGAGAGCTCAGTGGGCCGTGGGGATGCCTGGAGGAGCAGCTGCGAGCTGTGCCTGTGATGAAAATCTCGATCGCTGATGCCCTCACGGAGACAGGGAGAACTGGAACGTGGGAGGCAAGCTCTCCAGAGTGGCCCAGAGCGGGAAGGCAGGTGGCCTCAGAAAACACAGCAAAAGCTGCCTGTTTGTTGCCTGCTTTGGCCCAGCTCCAGCCCAGCACGCCCACTCTGGAATCCTGGTGGAACCAAGCAGTGGCTGCAGCAGCCCACGGCGGGCACCGTTAGCCAGAGCGAAGTGGCTTGATCTGCTTCCATGGGTGGGTGGGAGCTCTCTAGCCCAAAGGGACTGGCTGCAGAAGCTTGGCATCAAGGGAATCCTCCTCCTCCTCCCACTGCCTATTCTCCCAGCTGCCCGCCCTTGGCCAGGCACCTGGACCAGGTTCTGTAAACACACAGGCCCACGCGCCTGAAGGCTACACGGTGCCAGGTTGGGGAGAGGGTGGCCCCCCATCTTACTCCTGCTCCCCTCCTCCTCCACCCTGGGGAAGCCTTGGCCACAGGAGGCCTGTGGTGCTCACTGGCCGGACATGCTGTTCTTTTCTTCAAATAACTTATACTCATGTGGTTACATATTAAATTATGTCAACTCCATGAAGGTAGGGTCTAACTGGTTCGCCTTCGTATCCTCTTGGCTTAGGGCCTGCTGTGTAAACGGTTGCCACCTGCCAGGCCCTATTCTGCGTGCTCCGTGGGTATGAACTCAGGTGAGCCTCCTAGTGACCTGCCTGGGAGGCAGCACTTCCGTTTAGAAAAGAGGAAACCGAGGCACTGCAAGGTTAAGGAAGTTGCCCACGGTTCTAGGGCTGGAAGAAGTAGAGACCATACTCAAATCCAGGTGGTCTGGGTATAGAACCTTAGCTCTTAATCCCATTCTCGCCACAAGGCCCTCCTTCCCCACAGGGGTTTCGAGTGGCCAGGGATACTGGAAAGAGAACTAATCTGGGCCTCAGATGGACCTGGGCTCGGTCTCCAGTCACGTAAGGACCCGTATAACTCGGAGCAAGCCATCGCTTCCCAGAGCCTGTCCCCTCATCTGCTGAACAGGGATAAGAATGTGTATTTCACGCGGTTGTAGTGAAGAAATGATGACATAATGGATGTGATAGGGTCTGGCATGGTGCCTGGGGCATGGATTTGCACGAGTTCCCTTCCTCAGGCACCTGATTCGGAACAGATCAGCCCAAATCTGCCGCAACAAGGGGCCTGGACCAGAGCAAATTGTGTCTGGGGAGTACGTTGTTCAGGCCTCTCCTAGCCTTGGAGGGTGAGAGTGGGAATGTGTGCCTGCTGGGACTCCCCCTCCTTCCTGGGCCCTGGGATACCTGCCCCTGCCCAGGTTGCAGGGAGCTCCTTGAGAACAGCTGCTGCAGCCAAGTCAGCAGGCATTTACTTCCCCCACCCTGCCGGCTCTTACCCCCACCCTCTGGCTCCCCCACACACACCGGTCCCTGGCCTCGGCTGCCGCTCTCTCCACTTGGGGCAGTGGAGGTGACAGCAGCAGGATTCCCACCAAGGCACCGACCTGCAGAAAAGGAAGCAGAGCAGCAGGCACAGCCTGAGCTCTCGGCATCTATCCAGGCGCCATGCTGACCTCCTGAGTGATCTTGGGCAAGGTCCCGCCCCTCCCTGACCTTGAGTCTGCAGCTGGGCTGGGTAATCCCTGGGGTCTCTCTCTGTCTCCAGTTCACAGTGGCCTTCAGGAGTCAACAGCCTCAGGAAGTGATGTCAGGGTGAGGAGGTGGGAAGGTGGGGAGGGGCAGGGAGGCCCAGAGTATGAGGAGATATTTTGAGAGCAGGCATGTCCCCCCATGTCACTGTTGGACAATGGTCTGGGGCTGGGAGTGGAAAATCCTGCTCTTACTTGAGCTGAAAATAGCACAAGGCAGCAGGGTCAGAAGCCTCACCCACCAGGCGGGTGGCCTGGGCACTGAGCAGCAGGTCAGATGTCCACACCGAGGGGGCCAGAGGTAGGACCCTGGGCCTATCCCTGGGTTCCGTAGAACTTCCTGCCACAAGATTAGGGGGTGAGTCAGCTCTGCTGTGTCCTCTAGGTCCTGTGTCCTTAGAAATCTGCAGGCAGCTGGGTGAAGGAAGACTTCATGGGGCTACCAGTGGTCGGCAAACTCATTAGTCAACAGAGTCAAATATCAGCAGTACAATGATTGAAATTTCTTTTGAGAGCCACATTTTTTAAACTTAAACTTCTTTTAACGCCACTTCTTTAAAAACAGACTCGCCCAGGCTGTGGTATTTTGTGGAAGAGCCACACTCAAGGGGCCAAAGAGCCGCATGTGGCTCGCGAGCTGCAGTTTGCCGACCACAGGGCTAGGCCACAGTGTTATCTCCATGTGCTGTGGTTTTCGGGGTCTCCAGGGCAGCTGCTGGAGGGGTCGGTGGGCAAGATATGAAAAGAATGGGGACTAAAGGACCTCGGGCCCACAGTGTCCACAGTCCCACCCCAACCACTGATGAACTCTCAAGAGTCCCCAAAACCATGGTATATGACCCCCGATTCTGGATCTAAAAAGGGCTAAGGGAGTCAGAGCCCAACATTTACACTCCTGGCCAGCACAGCCTCTTACCTGGGCAGGGTGTCCCTATACACTGGGGTGGGATTAGGCCTCAACAGCAGCCAATAGGAAAGAGACAGACTCAGACCTACAGGAAAGGCGCAAAGGCAGCCCGAGAGAGGCAGTCACGAACAAGTTCTCAGGGACGCAGGTTACATGAACAGAAGTATAAGACCTAGAATGTGGGAGGTAAGCCTTTGCTCTATTTTGGGCAGGTCACCACACTGCACCATGTGGAGTCATCATTTGGATCATGGCTTGTGATGGGTCCCTATCACGTGAGGAGCTGAGATGCCCCTTTTTTTGCCAAGGAGGTGTGGGAAGGGTGGGGACGTCATAGGAGGCTGGGAAAGTGAGACAAAGAAAGAGCCTTATCTCAGGTACAGTGGGCCCTTAGAGAGAGGGGTGAGTCCTTATCCTTAAGGTTAACTGTGAGGCCTGTCGGTTTTGCCCTGTCCCTGCCCAGAGGCTAGTGGTCTCTGTCCAGCTGAGCTCCACAAATCTCCAGGGTGATCCTGGCTGGACCCAGAACCTGTCACAGGTGAGACCCATCTTTCTCACACTAAGCCCTAATCCAACTGGAACACCAACCATTTTGCCATGTAGCTGAATTTCCCACGAAGGCAGAGGACGGGATAGAAGAGGAGTGAGTCTCTCCCACACTACTCAGTGCTCAGGGAACCACATGAGCAGGGCAAGGAGGGAGCCCTGACTTCACCTCCTTGTGACCCAGCCCCCACCTCATTCCTGCTTTTAGCCTGGGCACCAGCTGCCCAGCCTGCCCCCAGTTACTGCACACCCTGCTCTCCTGGCCCCACGTCTTTGCCCAGGATGCGCCCTGAACTTGGATGTTCCCAATGAACTGCTTTCCCCAGAAACTATAGCTTGGGAGTCCACAGCCCCAACCATTCAACATTCCCCTATGATGTGTTGGAGCAACTTGTACTGTTTGCAAGAGCCAATTGTTAAATTCTCAGCAATTCTGCAGATAGGTTGGCATTATATTATTGGTAGTCTGAAATTGGCCATTGTAGCAGTGTTTGCACCACGGTAATTGGCAATGCTACAAATAAGGGGTTCCCTTCACCCACCTGGAGGGCCAGTTAAATGTTTTAACATTACCGGTACATGATTGCCATTAAGTCCTAAACTGGGGGATCCCAAGGACAGGGACCCCACCTGACTCCTCTCTGTGCCAGCTGAACTAGGTACAAAAGCCAGTTAGTTTTAAGGTGGGGCTGACCTGGGGTCTAGAGAGGGGACAGCTGATATGAGACCACCACTGGGGCAGCTAGTGGGAAGGCAGTGGCTGATGAGAACAGGTTGGAGAAAGGAACCTCGTGTACTTGGTGAGAGCTTCTCAGGCTGCATCCCCATCCTCCAACCACACAATAGGCCACAAGCACAGCAGACAACAACACTTTTAGTACAAGTTACAGCCTCAAACTGGCTCCCAGCCCATGGGAGCCTCCAGATGGTTTTATGAATCAATTTCCAGATGCTTATCTCTTGGGCTGGGGGTGCTTCTCATTGCTTAGTCCACTGTGGCACCCAGACCTGCCCCAGTTCCCCTGTGGGAAGCTCTGGCTCAGCACTGGCTGCAACCAGGGTCTTCTCGTCAGCCTGGGACCCCACCCCTCCCAGGCCGCTCAGGCCCGGATCCTCTGTGTGACGTGGGGAAGTCACTTTCCCCTCTTGGCCTGTTTCTCTGTTTGACTTGGGTCAGCAAGGCTCTAGCCTAGGTCCCTTGGCAGGCACGGCCAGCTATATTTTTGTGGGTGAGTCAGGCCCTGAACCCTTGCCTTCTTGAAACCTTATTCCCCAGTTGACACATACAAACGGGGACGGGGCTGTGAGGCACTGTTGAGCTCACTGGACCACAGAGTGTCCAGAGCCCCTGCCAAGCGATAGAGTGTTGGGGTCACGGCTCCCTGGACCATCCAGCATGAGTCATGATGATCCGTATCTGGGGAGATCACCTCATTTGAACAAGTCACAGCTCCTGCCGATGCCTCCCCGTACAAGCTTGCCCTGGCCGGAGGGAGAGGTTTAGGCCTCACAGCCTGATGTCCTTCGTATCCCCCCCACCCGCCAGCGGGGACTCCCTGCTGGAGTTCTCACTGCTGGCCGACCCCGCTTCGGCCCTGGTGTCCGTTCTGCGAAACCTGCACAGGTCCAGCCGGCGGCTGGCCTGGGCAGTGGGCGCGGGGTTTGTGGGCGTCTTGGCGTCGCGGGCGAAGCGCACAAGCCTCTGCCCGGCCAGGAAGTAGAGCACGGGGTCCAGGCAGCTGTTGGCACTGGCCAGCGGCCGGGTGATCTTGTAGGCCATGTTGATGGCGTTGAGGGTGTGGCAGCTGAGGTCCAGCGAGCGGAAGGAGTAGTAGAGGGTCCGGGTGACGTGGAAGGGCAGGAAGCAGATGGCGAACACGGCCAGGACCACGGCGATGGTGCGCACCGACTTGCGCTTGGCGCGCGGCAGGCCGCCCGCGGTGCCGTAGGCCGGCCGCAGCAGCCGGCGCGCCATGAGCACGTAGCACACCAGGATGGTGGCGAAGGGCGCGGCGAAGAGCAGGCCCAGCATCACGGAGGTGTAGACCAGGAAGTGGCCGAACAGGCTCGGGGCCGAGGTGTCGTGGCAGGTGATGCGGCTGCCGCGCGCGCTGGTGGTGACGAAGTAGAGCACGGGCGCCTGGCAGGCCAGCACCAGCGCCCACACGCCGGCCGCCACCCGCCGCGCGTAGCGGGCCCGGCCCCAGCGCAGCGACAGCAGCGGGCGCAGCACGCCCAGGCAGCGGTGCACGCTGATGCAGGTCAGGAAGAGGATGCTGCAGTACAGGTTGGTGTAGAAGAGGAAGCGCACCAGCTTGCAGAGCACCGTGCTGAAGGGCCAGTGGTCGCCGCGGGCGTAGTAGTAGACCAGCAGCGGCAGGGAGGCCGCGTACAGCGCGTCCGACACGGCCAGGTGGAACATGTAGGTGGTGGAGGCGTTCCAGGTCTTGAGGCGGCAGAGGAAGATGTAGAGCACCGCCACGTTCAGGCACAGCCCCAGCACGCACACCACGCCGTAGGACACGGGCAGCAGCACGTACTTGAAGTCCTCGTTGAAGCGGCACTTGTAGCCCAGCTCGTCCCCATCCCACGTGTCATTGATGGAGCTGTTCCAGAGGCCCCGGGCTGCGGCCATGGCCCTGCAGGAAAGGAGGAGAAAACAGCCGTCAGGGTGTGAGCCAGGGCTCATCCAAGAGGCCTGACACACCGGCCTGATGCAGGAACAGGAGCAGATTCCTTTGGTTAAGATCTGCCCAACCACGTTCAAGGCCTTCGGACCTGGCTCCCTGGACCCAGAGGGCCCAGGACCTGGGAACCCTCAAAAATGCATGAGAATGCCTGAGGTCCATAAATAGCAGGGTCAGACAATCCTAAAACTTTAGAACTGAGGTAGGCAAGCTACACTCTAAAGGTCAAATCCAGCCCAATAAAGCTTACTTGGGATATAGTGTACCCATCTGTTTACAAAGAACTGGACAGTTGCAACAAAGAAAATATTTACCATCAGGCCTTTTACAAGAACAAAGTTTGGCAACTCTATTCTAGAACCTCGGGAGCACAGAATTCTAGGTCTGGGGTTCGGAACTCTAGAATCTGAGGATTCGAGAGGGTGTAATTTCCGATTCATGGACGACAGGGCTCCGTGAGGCCTTTGGGCTCCACCTCACACCCAGACCCCACTGCCTTCTGAAGTGTTTCTGGCCAAGGGGCAGCCCATACCTTCCTGGGGGCGTTAGAACATTCTTTCCTTTAGCTTATTCTTTGGCTCCCTACAGAGGTTCTGGCCCTGTGCCTCGTATTTTGGTATTGAGGAAGTATTTCCAAGGGTCTCCCTCTTCAGTCACTTATTCATTCTCTCAGCAAATATTTTTTAATTTTATATCATTTTAGATACTTTTACATTCTGGCACTTTCTGCATAAAGTAACCAGTAGTGCAGTTCTCTGGCGTGTGAGTCTACCAGATGGGACAGTGACCCTCCTGAAGATTCCAGAGAAGTCTGGGGTGGAGATGGGAGTGGGGACAGCTGGGGACTTCATTTGTGGGTCAAGTTCAGCTTCCTCCAGGCTCACACAGCTCTTCTTCCACTCGACCACTATCTTGAGGTTCCCCTATCTTGTCCCTAGTGGGTCTATAACACACCCACAGGGCCTGACTGCCCAGTGAGCACCCGGAGAACAAGTTACCCACCTTCCTCCTCTCCTCACCCCCACCACTGTGACCAATAAGATCTCTCACTCATCTGGGAGGCAGGAGGCAGATATCCTAGTGTGGAGGGTGATGATATGCCCAAAGGTCCCAGAAGGCAGGCTGGGAATCCTAGCAGGGGTCCCTGGTGGACAGTTTGGGACAAACACAAAGAATAACTTTATAGCCCAGCTAGTGTTGCTCAGTGGTTGAGCATCAATCCATGAACCAAGAGGTCACCAGCTCAATTCCCGGGTCAAGGCACATACCCAGGTTGTTATGATGATGCCGAGTAGGGGGTGTGCAGGAGGCAGCTGATTGATGATCCTCTCTCATCACTGATGTTTCTATCTCTCTCTCCCTCTCTCTTTCTCTCTCTAAAAATCAATAAAAACATATATATTTTTTAAAAGAATAATTTTCTAACTGTGAAAGGGCAGAGGGGGCTGACCCTTTCAAACCATATTACTCTATGTGCTTTTTAAATGTCACCTCATTCTAGTCTTACAACATGCTTCTGGGAGCCAGGTTATCATGCCCAATAAAGGGGCTGAGACACAAATCATTCAAGTTATTTGGCCAAGGCCACAGGCTACAATTCCTAGGAATAGGAAGGTGCTATCAGAGGGAGATAGGAACTCTCCGCAATAGGGTTGTGCAAGCTGAGTCTTCAGGAGGGCTCGTGTCCTGCATGTGGGTGTGTCTGGGAGCACACAGAAGGCAGATAATGTGTGAGTCCTTTCTACCCGGATAACCTGGGGCTGTACAATCCCCTTCATGTTGGAAGCTGAGGTCCTGAGAGGCTGGAACTTGGGGATTCTGTCAGGCCAGCGATATCCACTCCTTTAGACCCTAAGCTTCATGCCCAGCCTGGCCTCTCAGCGGCAGTTCAAGACCCTTGACATTGAGGTTAGGAGGGCTGAGGGACCCATAGGTGCCTCAGTTTCCCTTACTCCCCAATATTCCACTACCCCCCACCCCAGATCTTTCCTGTCTCCTGTTGTCAGCAAAGGTGGGGCCAGGAGGAAGGGAGCCTGTACTGGTGACCTCCCTCCCACGGTCATAGGTTCCTTCCCAAGGAGCCAGAGCAGGTCCAGGGTGAGGAGGCAGGGAGAAGCCTATGTGGTACTAGGCTGAGTGAAAGCTGAGATGGAGGAGCGCTGGAAGGACTAACCTGCTGGGATCCCTCTTGCCCGGGGCCAGGACTCAGGACCTGGCATTAAAGCATTTCCTGCCTCCCATCCCTGCTCCAAGCAGCCCAGTGTCACCTCCACCCTTGCTGTCGGAGCCACTGCATCAGCCTCTCCGCCTCCGGCCTCAGTCCTCCCCGATCCAGAAGGGTCTTTGTAAAAGACAGAGTCATTCCCCTGCTTGAAACCCTCCATAGCTCCTGCCTGCTGTCAGGAGGAAGCCTCTGCCGATCTCACCAGCCCCAACCATCCCCTGTGACCTGCGGTTTCCTGAATGTGCCCAACACGTCTCCTCTCTCAGCCTTAGTTCATGTTGTTCCCTCAACCAGGAATCCACACACACCTTTCATATCTGCCTGTTGAAATGACAACTCTTTATCCTTCAGAGCAGCAAGCCCCAGTGATTACGAAGACCCTGGCCTCTGGAGTCAGACCTCCTAATTCCACCTCTAGAAAATGGGGTGATTATCGGAACCTGTATCACAGAACTGCCGTGAGAATGAAGTGAGTAATCGGGATAAAATGTTTGGAGCAATGCCTGGCACACAGTAGGTATGCTGTGATGTTATGAGCTTCAAGGTTCAGCTCAGATGTGGCCTTCTCTTGAAATCTTTGGGATGCTCTCTCAGGCCACTGGTGGAGGAGCAACAGGTCTGGACTGAAGGCAGGTGAGTGTGGTGGGCCAGGGGATGATGATGAGCCCAAAGCGAGGGCCAGGCCTGGCACCTCTGAGGGGAGAGGCCTGAGAGCTGTTTGGGAGGAAGGCTGGAGAGACTGGCCCAGAGGAAGTCTGGATGGAGTTGGGCAGGAGAGAGAGGCAGACAAGAGGCCCGGCTCAGGGGTTGGGAGGAGGAGCAGGAGAGGGGAGAGGAGGGATTCAGTGTCAGACAGTGTAAGTGTGGGGAGCCCTGCAGCGGTGTGGTGGGATGTAGGCATGGGAGAAGGCTGGGCCATCAGATCTGACACTTTGGGGGATGGGCTGGGAGTTGCTGGTTCGCAGAAGCTGCAAGAGGAGTGTGGAGGCCAAGTATGAGGCTGAGGACCTGTAGAAGGGCCACCAGGTTGGGGTGTCCAGCCCTGCCACAGAACCTCAGTGACATCAGGCATTTCCTGCCCTCCTGAGACTCAGACCTCTCTCGGGCTAAATTCCCTGGCCTTGGAGAACTGCGGCAATAAAACCTTCCTCATGAGGTCCTCTTCCCACTGGAGATAGAGAGAGCGGCTCCTCCATGACACCCAGTCACCCCTGCCTGCTGCTTTCGGTCCAGCCCCAAGGCAGGTGTCTCCTCAGAGTCGGGCCAACTTCCCATTGCTCTGCACAATGCTCTTGCTAATCACTTGTGGTGGAATCTCTGACACTAACCAGAGGGGTGGAGACTTCCTTAAGTTTCCAGGGAACCTAGGGAGCTGCCCTTTGCACCTGCTCTATGATATCCTGGCCTCCTCCCTCCCAGGCCGGCTGGGGATTCCATTGCCATGGCCCCCATCCAGACTGACTCTGCCCACCCTTTCCCTCCACAGGCTGGCTCTCCAGCCTGTGACTACATCTTTCCTGCCTCCCCAGCCTTTGCTTATGGAGATAGCCAAGTCCCCAGCCCCGTCTTCTCTCTTTTCTGACCTCTGGGGGCCTCACTCCCTGCTCCCTGGGGACTGGCTTCTGCCTAACTTTGTCTCACACCACTCACCAGCCCCTCCGTGTCCAGGTCTGGCTGTTCCTGCCCTGAAGAGCTCCCGGTCTGGAGGGAGCTATGAGCCGTGCACGTGTCCTACCAGGCTTCCTCGCCTTGGTGCACGCTGTGCCTTCTGTCTGGAAACCCACCCACATTGCACTCCATCCTGCCCATCCCGCAAGGTTCTCTTCAAATATCACCTCATCTCCGAAGCTGTCCTCTTAACACAACCCCCAGGCATTCCTCAGACCCTGTTAGTAAGTCCAGCCACCTTCTACCCCAACACATTCTTTTCTCTGTCCCTAGCCAACAAGAGGTCTGATGTAAAGCAGGTATAACATGAATGAGATAATGAACGAGAGAATGAATGAATGAGTGAGTGAGTGAATGAATCAAGCACAAAAGGCTATGGGAGCCCAAAGGAGGACGAGCTTTATGACAGTGGCTCTCCTTTCCCTTGTTCCTCTGAGAGCCTCCCAGAGGACAATGGCACTGAAAGACTTCTCACTGCTGACCCTCGGTGGCCAGGAGTCACCCCAGCGCTCCCGGGGCCCAGCCCACCTAAGGTTCCTGGACGGTCTCTCTTTTAAGAGCCACAGAAAAGGCCCTACCCTTCTCTGGACAGAGGGAGGTAACTGGACCCAGATATTCTGGAGATGGGTCAGCTGTCTGAGCTAGCCACATTCTTTTATTTCACCCACCTCTGGCTCAGATCCTGGGTCAGGAGCTCCTGATCCTGGAGCCCCATCCCCTCACTTTGAAGGGGTGAAGCCTGGGATGAGCAGCTTCCACATAGCAACCCAGTTTTATCCGCCACCCTCCTTCCTCGGCAGATGCTGCCATCGAGCCATTTCTTCAAGGTCACACTGCCAGGAATTGGAAAAACTGGGCTTGTTACCCAGGGCTGTCTGGCTCCAAAGCCTTCCTTTATCACAGCCTGGGAAGAGGGAGTAAGGCAGGGATCCCCTTGACCTCCCTCCGGTTCCGTGTACACACACACATGCACGCACCTGCCCCAGCCTCCTCGCCAGCGGACCCCGCCCGCGCACGTCCGTACCTGACCGGCCCCTGCTCTCGCAGTCAGGATGC